ACTGCAGGTCCTGACAGGCACACAGCATCCTTTCATACAGGCTGGTGCTCATGTGTCAACACTTGATCCTAAATGAAATATAAACTTTGTCAGCACAAGAAAACTGAAGCGCATGCAGTGGGACATTAACATGAGTGTGAGTCAGCTGCTCTCATAAATAGCTTAAAAAAAGTTTAAAAAGACTGTAACTGAAACAAGCGGCCTCCCTCACTGCTAAACTGAACATTCAAACGTAAAACTGAACCGCTGCAGATTACAGGTGGCACTTGGTTTGCTGCAGTTTGTGGAATAGTCCACAGGGTGGCAGTGTACTATTAGCTTTACCTGGAGCCAGCTATCGCACCTGAAGGATGAGATTCAGTAACTGATAAACGACCTGTTTCACATCTTCGGAACAATGTTTTATAATCCAAGACATCAAATGAGCCAAATTCCTGCGTATTAATACTTCAGATGTCACAAGATGCGCTCTAATAAATATATATAAAGGGGACACATACTTAATTTATTCCCGGCATTCTTTACCTCTTATAGAGCAGTTTTGCACAGTTCAAAATAGTCCTTGTTTGTTTTATTCCTGACCTCGCCACAACCCCTTCTTAACTCCCTTCCTCCTCCATTTAAACCAAATTTCTTCCCATTGGCTGCCCCTCTGAAACAAAAGGTTTGATCGACAGATAGATAGATAGATAGATAGATAGATAGATAGACAGATAGATAGATAGATAGATAGATAGATAGATAGATAGATAGATGACACACTGACAGTATGTTGGATATACAATAAAAACTAAAGATTAAACATCACAAAGTTCAAATTTTCAAAGAAACAAAGAAACAAACAGACAATTTGCTGTGGCGCTGTACCCTTGTTAAGTGGGTGGATGTGACCAGAAACATAACGTATACAGACATCAAACCATGGGCGTAACAACTCTGTGATGGGCCAGGGGAGGATATTTTTCTGGGCTCTTGCCCCCACGTTATACCACATTCTGTGTGTGTGTGTTTATATTTGGATGAAGGGGAAATGGTAATGTTTCAATCTTCTATAATCATCTCTCAGAATTTCATCTGTTCAGCTTTGCACTCAGTACAGCCCTTGATAACACCACTAAAGTCTAAAGTCATCGTGATCTCTCCTTCCTTCCTTCCTTTTCTGAGCACCACTTTTTTTGTTTTTTTTTGTGTGTGTCTTGATAAACATAATTAACAAAAACAAACTCCTCTAAAAGATTGAAAGGAAAATCGTTGCACAGATAGCTGGTAGAGCTGACTTATGAGACGAATAATTATCAATTTGAAAATTCAGAATACGTTTTAATGACCAATAAATCACTGCGATTTCTAATTTCCACAATAAATAGTTAAAACAACAAAACACAGCTTTAAGCTTCTCATATATTTTGAAACTGATTTTGTTTTGTTGTTGGTTTTTGGAAGGCTTGATTGTTAATGTGCCTTTCTGTACATCACTTATTAAATTTCGTTTTTGTGATATTTTATTTATGGACTTCTACTTCTTTTTGTCGCTTATCCTAGTAATGTAAATTTCAGGCTTTTTTTTTCAAGAATAAGTAATACCTAAAAAGCCCACCTGTGACGCTAAAAAATGTAATAAACTCTCCAAATGCGACCTGTGTTTGCAGTCCTTGTATGTGGACCGTGTTATCATCTCACACTGACGATCTTTGAATCTGCTCTCCGCCGGGGCGGGAGAAACGGAAGTGGGTCCGAGTGAAGCATCTCACGCTGTCAGCCCCTCTTTGGTCTCCTTCCAACATCATCAGCAGCAGCGGTGGCAGCACCACCAGCAGCAACGGCCCCGCCTCGCGACGTGAACCGCTGGCTGGTTCACCTCCAGCACCGTCTCACATCTGGCTGTCAGGAAACAGCGCTGCCCGCCGCTCCGCCCGGTACCGCGGCATGCTCATATCCGAAGAAGAAGAGGAAGAGGATTTTTATTTATCTAAAAGCTGAGCGAAATGTCTGAGGTGCGAAAATTCACAAAGAGGCTGAGCAAACCCGGGACGGCCGCGGAAGTCAGACAGAGCGTGTCGGAGGCTGTGAGGACCACCGTGGACCTTGTGGTGAGCGGAGCTTTTTAAAGGCTGGCTGTGAACCGGTCATTTTAGCCACCAGGGATAATGTAACTCATAGCCGACCCCCTCCACCCCTCCACTCTGCCCTCCCCGGGGAGGATAAGCCTATACGGACTAGTCCTCCTTTCTAGGTGGCTGCTCTTCTTCCTGGACTTTTATGTCTGTTTTGTGAGTTTTCGCGCTCCGTCCGTGTCCTCATTATTACATCTTTCTGTAAAGCCCTGGTATGTCTGCATAACTGCCACTGCTGCAACCTGTGCAAAGGCTTATAAACCAGGGTCACTGTGGGAGCAGGTATATGCTTTAAATCCACTCCACGTGGTGGCTTGGTTTTTCTAAACGGCCTTTATTTAAAATAAACAAATAAAATGACAGCGTCCTCCAGCACACACGCTTTCTCAGCTCTGTGCGGCTCCTTTTGTGTGCTGGCGGATGAAGAGCAGTGCCAGTTGGACAGCTGCAGCAGCATGGCTTCCCTGTCCTTGCCTTGGAGCAGTGTGTGTGTGTCTGTGTCTGGCTGTGAGTGCTCGCCTCTCTGTTTCTGCTGGAAATTGCTCACATTGTGCATAGAGAAGCCTGTCTGCGTAATTGCTTTTATCACATTTGTCTCGATGGTTGTGCAAAGCAGAAGGTGTTCTTTGAATGAATGTCGATGCTGGTGGCTGTCATTGGGATTAGGCGCAGTGGCTTGAAATGAACAGCGTTTAGTATCCTGCTGATGCAGCATTTGTGTGTCAGGGGAAGGATTTTCATAACAGTAAATCGAAGGCGTGACATTTGTCTTGAAGTTAAACCACAGTGATGTCAGCGCAGCATTAACACTTGCCTAATAATGACTTGTTTTCTTTTTTCTTTTAACAAAATGCATCTGCCAACTCATCCGCTTTGTGTTTGTGTGACTGCGGCTTCTTGCATCTTTTTCCTTTTAGTTCTAGGTTAGTTTGGATAAGAGATAAACTCTTGTTCCCCTTGAGATCAGTCTCATGATGCTCATCTTGAGTTGTGTGATGTAAGGCGCTTCCAAGTTTAAAAACCCTGTGATAAGGCACTGATTGTTTTTCTTTTTACAGAGGTGAGAGTGTTGTGTGGCTGTGTGTATGTCTACTGTTTCCTGTTTTAAGGTTGGGCTGCAGCTGAGAACAGATGCTGTTTTGTGGAGGGTGCATGGCCTGTGCTAATTTCACATGGGGATTCCCTTGGGCATGCTGTGACCAATGCATCCTCTGTGACTGTGTCTGTGGATTCATTCTTAGCTTAGGAAGAGGACTCTACTCCTGGGCCCCAACAGGGAAAAAATAACTATCTTATCAGTTTCTAAGGAGAATGTTGAATAAAACTACACATGGCTGTAAAAACTCACTATTGGACTTTTCTCTTGAAGTCGTCTGACTTTTTCTCATCTCTTTAGAAGATCTGTTTTCACAGCTTGTTTGATTTTGAGCGTTGTGTAATTTGACATACTCCAGCCTTTTCTCCCCATTTCCCTTCTCTAAGAGTGGCTTCATGACAGTCACTCTTCCATTGAGATCATTGCTGATGATGTTTCAGCGAACACTGGATGAATCAGCTGAAGGCCCAGATGTGTCTCTCAGGTTCTATGTCAGGTCCTAAACAGGACATAGGACTTCCTGTTTCTTAAGGACATGACTTTCAGATACTGGTCGTCTGGTGTAAACAGCTTTTTAGTCCTGATACTTTTTCGCTTATCCTTCATTTGTTCACTTTCCTTCATTTTTTTAAGGACATACTGCAAACTATGTTGAAAAATACCAAGTTTTTGGCTAATAGGCTTTTGTTGGAATGGACATAAAAAAACTACAGTTTTATGTTTGTGTTATCTTTGATATTTTTCATAGATTCAACAAAAGAAATGGGAACAAATTCTATGTTTTTGCGACAGGCTGTAATTACCAACATTAAAATTGGCTCTTTGCTAAGCTGTCTGTGCAGACACCCCCTGATTAGGTACCTGTTTTATGCTTGAATGATTCATATGCCAGCGTTATCTGGGTTAACGAAGCAAACAAACAAAAAGCACCCAGGGTCCAAATCAAGACTTTAAGGATCTTCAGAAAGCTCGCAGAACTATCGGTCGAGACCAGTTTAAAAGATGCAACAGAATCTGGATCCTTGGAAGCCAAATATTCTTGCACAGTATTATATATGAGATAAAACATAGAAAAACTAAAGGGAAACTACACAATGGAGAACATGTGGGTTTTTGTCTGGCCTTGAGCCAACTGTGTTCCATGGAAATTCCCATTAGAGATGTGTTAGTGGTTATTGGGCTTCCTGCTGTTCCTAGAAAGTCCTGCTATCAAATCCACATCTGTGTGTGTGTTTTGTTTTCTATTATATTAAATTGCTTTGAACCAATTAGACAATGATAACGTACCGATCCTAAAATTGAAACCGTGTGATTACCGCTCTGTGTTGTGCCGGTGTCTCTGGCGTTATTTAATCTGACTTGATAAACGTGAGTCCTGCTGTGTGTTCTCAGGTAATCTGATAACAAGTACACAGTGATTTATAATTTCAGAAAACAGCCACTGGGAGTTGCTGGTATCTGTGGTGTGTCTGTGGTTCACACATTTGCCTTTCATGCAAAAGTCCCCTGGTTTGAGACCAGGAGGAGTCATAAACCCAGCCTCAGGGG